TTCCTGCTCTTCCACAGAGTGGAAGATGCCAAAACTACATGGCAGGCTGCAATGGGAAAGAATAGCAACCACAGAAGTCACCAAGAAAACTTCAAGGACAGCGTTTTTAGACAAAACGGGAAGTTATCCCATTTTCAGAACAGCTATATTCTTTGAAGAAAACACGTAGTTAAAGAATAGCATATTGCAAATGCATACAACACAAAAGATTGTTAGTTGGTTTCTGAAAGGATGGCAGAAAAGATCTGTTGTCAGAAAAGGAAAAGAAAAAATTATTTAAGGAAATAAGAAAATTGACATCAAAAGGGAAATGAATTATTTACCTCTGCACAAACCTGAGAGCATGGAAGACAAATGTCCAAAACACATGTACCATTAATAGCCAGGGAAGGAAGAAAACCACTTAGGTCTGAAATGTGCCAAAACAGGTGAAGAAAAAAATGACAATAACTGAAAAATGGGAAAGTTGTAACACTTGAACAAATAAAAAATTCTGAAGAAAATGGCAAGGAATGAAATTAGTCTTACATTAGGATATGTACCCTTCTTGTCTTTTGGCACCAAAAGTGAAAAGAAATACAAAACATGTAAAATAATTTACAAAAAATTAACTCGATTAAATGGACCATTAAGAAAATAGCTGAAAATGTAAACATTATTAGTGTTGCTACTCTACTTCAGCCAGAAGTATTTACACTTTTTGCATGTGAATTTAAAAATATCTTGAGGAAGGCAGCTGAGTGAAAGGCCAACATATTCCTTGTTTATGTGATTCTGTGTCAAGATCTTGTCAGCAGGAGTTTTCAGACCACATTAATCACTGTTATCAGGGCTGTGAATTACTCAGCACCTGCCAAGCAAATGTGTTAGGTTGGGTAATATTGCCTCATGTTTTATAGGTAATATTTCAGAAATGCTTTTGGATTTAGGAAAAAAAAGCACCAAAAAAATCTTATTGATGCAATATTTCACATCTCTGTCTCTGAATCATTATCTCTAAGGGAGGAAAAAACAAGAAGGCATTTTAGAAAACGCTATAAATTAAATGAAAAAACATTTTTGTAAGTCTTCACTCTATATTGTTATGGGCTTATACTGCAATCTCTACTAAAGTTAGAAATTGTATTGTATCTTACTGAAAAAGAGAATTCCCAGCACTTCCATTAGATGGAACATTTATGCCTACCCCAAATGGTTCATAAAATATTTTAGATTAAACATGCCCCTCATACAACAGCTAGTTCTGACTTTCTGTGCCTCAAACTAATTGAGAATTGGCCACAGTCAGGGTCATGGCAATGTTGGGGCAGAAGAGCTCTAAAAGGGGGTAAGAAAGGAAGGTAGGTCCAAGCCTTACAGTGAAGCTGTGGCATCCTCTACCTGTTTGCTCCAAGTTAAGAAGAAGATGATGGCAGCAAAGCATTCAAGGGCACTTTGAACTCCAAAATGTCTCCCTACAGCTTCACTGACAATTATAAATCAGAGGACTTATTTCAGCTAGGTTCTCAGTTCTCCATGCCACAGTAAGTGCTGCTTCAGTCAACAGGCCAAGCAAAGTATTACTGAGAGTCTCCTGATTTTCTGTGAGGATATTTTTCTGTGGTGTCCAGACAACCAGAAGAGACTGTAATTTTTCAGGTTTTGCCAGTCACTGTGTGAAAACAGACTGTCTTGAGCTAAAAATCACCACTGGTTTTTATACCCTATACAGAGAGAAGGGAGGTAACCTAAACAAACATCTCCCATTATTCCTGATTATTTTAAAGCAGGGTCACGTTCAGTAATTCTGGCAAGAGGGAGAAAGAAGAACCCGCAGAAGGGCAAAGAACAGATTACAAGAGGGAAAAGGCATTCAAGAGGAGCAGCTGACTGGAGTGAGAGGATATGCAGAGGCTGGAGGATGTGGACACAGAGGGAGATGATGAGGGCACGGCAATGTTAGAAGGAATGTGTAGAAGAGGAACTGTACAAGAGCAAATAGGAAGATGAGGAAATATGGGTGGAAATTAAGGGACGAAATGAGGTCCAGCACACTGGCAGGAAGGCAAAAAAATGGCTTATGTGCAGCGGAAGAGTAGAAGCTTGAAAGAATGAGAGGGGAAGAAAGAACAAGCCAGAAGGTACCCATGCCAATTTAAGCTTCTTAAAGGAATCTTCCTTCAGGAAAGCCTGA